CGCGCGCAAGATGCTAAAAGTAGACTGCTAGAAACACGAAGAGACGTTATTATCAATATGCACTGACATTATAAAGATAGACTAATAGAAGTCATTGAAAAAAGGGTGCAGCCATAAACTATTAGCATTGTTTCTGCAATGTCCGAAAAATACTGTCGCCTGTGTAATGTGAAAATTTGTAAAAAAACAAAAATACTTCTAATTTGAATTCTGCTTTTCCATTTGTAGTATTGAAACAGTTTTTAAATGTTATTGCCATTACACTAAAACAGTACAGACTGCCTGTGCTACCTAAAACTTGAAAAAATAAAGTGTCTGAAAAATAGTGACGGCCCCCTGTAGTTTGCATGTCGTTCAGTTGTCTTCGCCCTGAGTAGGCTGGTGGTTAGTTGTCCTGCAGTTGAGTAGTCATGAAGATGTGTTGGCCGGTATTGAGACAACGGTGTTGAGTTGGTGGCGGTGATGAGTCGTCCTGCACCAACATGACTCAGCATATCAGATAAATATTCCATATATCTCATTTGAGCATTGTTGGGCGTTTGAAAAGACTTAGATATCGGAAAGGATGGCGGAACACCTCTCCTAATGGCAAGAACTTCCATCCTCTGGAAGGCCTTAAAAATCACTAAGATCAGTTCATGGCCCAGAAAGATGCCAAATTTTGAAATAATGAAATTATAACGTTGCCTCAAAGATGGCGAAGGGTAGTGGAACAAAATGCTGGATATGTTGTTGAATAAATCTATGTACAATTAACTAAACATTGCCTTGGAAATTCAATTAAAAACGCTACGAACTTTTTGTTCCAACACCATATATATATATATATATATATATATATATATATATATATATATATATATATATCCTATTCTCATTTATATTTATAAATATTGTCTTTTCTACAGGTTAACTCTGAAAATTTTCATATATATATATATATATATATATATATGCATTGTGTATTGTCTGAATATATATATATATATATATATATATATATATATATATATATATATATGCTGGCTTACAAAGTGACTGGGAGTATAAGGCGACCAATCAAATGTTTAAGCTATGATGTAGGTTTCGGGCTATATGCACTATACAAGTTATATTTTTAAATTTATTGTATTCAATTTATTAAGTAAATCAGCAAGATTATACTTTCTTTTAACCCAAATTCTAATGTAATAACGGTGGGGAGACATTGTCAATTAACTAACACAATCTACAATATCTCATGAGTGGCTTCTGTTTTTTCGGTAGGCTATTACGGTAGCCTGGATGAATTTTCCCGGTAACCTTTCACACGTTTCATTGCTCTCTAATGCTATCTTTAAGCTCCTTGTGGCACACATCTGCTAAGCTAACAACTTACTATAAACCGCAGTAGTTAAGATACACATTTTATACCTGGAGTAGAATATCTATCTATCTATCTATCTAGTCAAACCTAGTGAGTCAGACAAACCTAGCCAGGTTTCACGTAAGCGGATCATCAGGGAAAGCTGGCTAAAGAGGCAAAAGAGAAACGGCATAATTATAGGCGACAGTCAAAACTATACCACGTGACCAAAGAAAAAAAAAATAGAAAAACAAGACAAGAAAAGAAAAGAAAAAACAACACAACACCGGGGGTTAAGATTTATTCAAACGACTAAAAGGGGAGGGAGATTTATTCAAACGACTGTATATATATATATATATATATATATATATATATATATATATATATATATATAAAGAAAAAATGAGAACAAATGGAGTATAATTCAGCTGAATGTAACATTTAATTTACAGGGGGGTTCAATACTGAGTAGAGATAAATATTATTCATTTTCGGATATCAAAGCATGTTAAAGTTCGCTACATAATGGCATTTATGTTTCAACACTACAAATGTGTCTTCTGAGTGTCGAAGCATAATTTCCATTATGTAGCAATTTTTACCGTGTTAAAATATATGTTCGTATGTTTATATATCTATCATCCTGTTTGTGTATGTGTGCACATCTGTTGCGTAGAAAGACCCCCGGCATTCTCTGCAGTAATTGTTGAACATGGAATCGTCTATCCGCTATGAGTATAATGTCTGCTCATGGAAACAATGGTCGAAAAGGCGTCGCGTTGAGAAGTAAGCATTGCCGCACTGATGTACGGTATTCTCTGTTACTCTATTATTGACTGATGTCTCTCGTGTGAATAAGACTGTTCTTCACTCAAACTTTTCTTCCAGTGGTTCCGTACAAGTATTATTAATCAGAACTAAAAGCGTTATACGAAGTTTATAACATCATCACAAGCACAGCTGGATGGAACGCATGTTTACATGCAGGAGAAAGTCACTGACAACTGGTGATGACGTCGCTTAGTGTTAATGAGTTAGGAGTTTGTTGTAGAGTAGTTTTCACAGTGGAGGCTTGTATTTCAATAAGTCGTCCTAAATTAGGTTCGACGTACAAAACGTTAGGAACTTGGAAATAAGAGTTAATGACGCAGCAATCTAGTTGTGATGGTTGGTACTTCAATGTCCGATATCTACTGACTCGCTCAACACCACTGAGCCTAACTGGCGACCGCTACTACTACTACTACTTATGATGTGTGGGAGAGTCTATTAATAATAGAATAGGTACGTCAGGTATAACAGAGTTATATCTCAGGTAAACGCTCTGATGCACCTGGCTCCTATGATGAACACTGAAAGCAAAGTTTATTTTGGCATAATCTGGGATGAGTCACATAATATCTATCTATCTATCTATATATATATATATATATCTGTGCATGTCTCAGTCTGTTCATATCTATCTATCTACACACACACACACACACACACACACACACACACACACACACACACACACATATATATATATATATATATATATATATATTAGCATCATCAGAAAGTAGAATAATATGGAATTGTTTCGGTTTTTATCATATGCATATCATAATTTCAGCTGGGTTGACTTTCGGATTTTTGACAGCCAGCGACCATGAGAACTCCTATTCTGCACTTGATAGCTATGAGCTAGCATTCTCGGTCTGCCCTCTGAGGCCCCTAGCCTTTTTGATGTTCTGATGTGACACCGAGTAGAAAAAAATTGTTATCTCTTAGGTTGGGCAAGTACATATTGGAGGTCACGGCAAATGAATTCTTAGTAGATTAAAGATTCCTGATTGATATTAAAGTCATTTCAGAACTCTAGTGTTTTTTTGTTTTTGTTTTTTTTTTAGCGTGAATCACATATTGAAGCAATATAAAAGTTTAATTCGTCAGGGTAATTCAGAATTTTCGGTTAACACAGACACACACACACACACACACACACACACACACACACACACACACAAAAAAAAAACAAACAAAAAAATAAACGCTCACCTGTCACTGTACGTGATCTGTACTGAGCTGCTTTTCAAAAATCTGTTAATCAGCCAATCACTTGACTCCAAGCCAGAAAGGATACCACATACGCTCTTGGCGAATGTTTTATATTGATAAAAATACAGACTTTATATTGCAAAGCTCTCTTTAATTGTTAAACACTTTTGTAATGCCAATGAATACTCGTTGACACTTTCGTAATGCTCGTTGTAGTAGAGACTTTGTAATCGCAGATACAGCTATATTAATGCCGTTGAACAATAATGGTGTCAGACGCCTTCGAATAACACTGACACTAATAGTACTTGTTCGATAATATTCGCTCGAATAGTAATCACTATAGTGAAATAGTATAGCGAATAGCGGCTTGTTGAAATTTGTCACATTGATAATTATCAGATTAAATTGGATAATTAGTAAGGATTACCTAGAAGGGTTCAATGAGATTAGTACTGTACAGGCCATAGACTGGGAACTGGACTTATTAGGGGTATGCATTGGAAAACCGACAGTGACTGTAAGAGCTACCATGCCCCTGGGCATATAATAAGACTTCAAACGGGTTGATCTGCCTTTCGGAAAACTTTAGCCGTCCCGCCATGCTATCAGGCGAAGAAAAAATTTAAAGCCCGGGACTCCTTACTAGCCTTAGTAGATGTTTTGAGTAGAAAGTATAGAGGACCCTGGGAGAAAACATATATAACTACATGCAAATTACCCCAATTCTTAGAACCATTAGTTTTTGTGACTCATCGAACCCTCGTTGCCACTCTTTTGATGTCAACGAATACTCGTTGTCACTTTCGTAATGCTCGTTGTAGTAGAGACTTTGTAATCGCAGATACAACTATAGTAACGCCGTTGAACAATACTGGTGTCAGACCCCTTCGAATGCTACTCGTACTAATAGTAATAATTTAAATCAATAATACTTGCTCGAATAGTAATCCGTATAGAGAAATAGTATAATGAATAAAGTTGAGAATAGCGGTCCTTAAAGTAATAGAGGATAGAATAGAAATGGAGATACGAATAGTAATAGAGGATAGACTAGAAATGTCGATCAATTAGACACACGCTATCGCCCATATATGCGATTCCTCTATGGTCACGTAGTCCACTTAATTAAATAATGGGATCGCTTGTGTTTGTTCACTGGCGATCTACGTTCAAACTCATGTGTCGGCAGCGGCAATTTATTCCTATATAACACATTTTGTTTTGTCAAAATCTGCTTTCATTTTCTTTTGTTCCTTGGTATTTTTTATACAATAATAAACATCTACTAGTGTCATGACAAAATAATTTCTCTTATACTAGTAAAATGCAACTACAGGGACATTTTCAAAATACTGTCTTGAGAAATGTCCTTTCATTTTGTTTGGAATTATTATTTTTTTTTTACCTAAAATTATCTTCATTTAAGTAAACAGACCAATTGAGAAGAGGAAAAGTCATTTATCTAAACAGCGTACGCAATAATCTCTAATTGCTTTGAATTAGATTGGGCGGACTGGGAATGAAACATCGGAATCACAAAGAGAGGAAGACTTACATAAATTGATAGAGTGATCAAGAAAGTGAAATAGAGAGGGGGAGAGAGAAATCAGAAGAGAGAAAGAGATGAAGAGAGGGATAAATGAAAAGAGAGAAAAGGTAGAGATCGGAATAGAAAAAACAGAAAAGAGAAAGGGTAGAGACAGTGGGAAAAATAGAGAGAAAAAGAAAACAAAACAGTGTAAAGATCAAAAGGTAGACAGAAAGAATTTTTAAAAAAGTGATGGGGGGAATGAGAGGTGAAAAGAAATAGAGTGAAAGAGAGGTGAAAAGAAATAGAGAGATAGAAAAAGAGATGGGTAGAGAGAGAAATACAGACAGTGTGATAAATGTGGCGAAAGAAACTAACCGAGAGAGGGAAAGGAAGAGAAAAACAGGAAGAGAGAGAGAGAGAGAGAGAGAGAGAGAGAGAGAGAGAGAGAGATTCAAAGGTAAAGTGAAATAATAAAAAAGAGACGGAGAGATTGTGTAGAAAGAGAAAAAGACATAGAGAAAAGGATTGGAAAAGAAAAATTAAGAGAGAGAGAGTGAGAGTGAGAGAGAGAGAGAGAGAGAGAGAAGGCGGCAGAAAGGAAAAAACTGGAAAAAAAAGATTAAAATTTAGAAAGAAAGAAAGAAAGAAAGAAATAAAGAAAGAAAGAAAGAAAGAAATATAATTGGAGAGATCAAAAGGGAGCGTCATTGAAAAAGAGATGGAGAGGATTAAGGCTGGATAGAGAGGAAGCGAGTTGTCAGGATATGAAAATGTAAAGAGAAATGAGTATAGAGTGACTGGATAAAGAAAGAAAATTATATTAGATAGATAGATAGATAGATAGATAGATAGAGAGAGAGAGAGAGAGAGAGATCAAAAAGATAGTCAGTAAAGAATAAATGGAGAGTATAAGAACTGCATAGAGAGAAAAGAAGCGGTCGAGTGATAAAGAAAACCAAGGGAGAAATAAGGGGGAGAATGATTGCAGAAAGAAAGATTATATTATATAACTAGATAAATCGATAGATTGATAAGAGACATTGAAAGAAAGAAAGAAAGAAAGAAGTATAGATTTGACAATATATAAATGTGATAAAAAAGGAAAAGAAGCATAGAAATTATATTCCCGCCAACAAAAATCAGGGAATTATTACGCAAAAGGAGAAGAAAGAACATTTAAAGTAATTAAATCTTTTGAGCTTACACTTTTCCATCTTTTTTTCTCTGTTTCTTTTATTTAAAACCAAAGCGATAAAATTCCAGTAGTATTAAAGCATAATAAAGAAAAAAAAAAAGAAAAGAAAATGAAAAAAAGTAATAATACTGTATGGGTATAATCTTTTCTTTCTTTTTCTTCCATTTGCTGTCATTCTACCGCCATCTTTTCTATCTCTTGTTTTCCTTTAGCGTCCACAAACAACTTCAACAAAACAACGCCAAGAATTACCTGCATTTAATAAGGCGCCTAATTTAGGGAATATCAAATAAGTCTTTTATCTAGCTTGTTCGTGGCGTAATCTTTAATTGCGCGCAAAATCCAATCAGCTAGCAATTAAAATGTCAGCGAGTTGCGCGAGTTAGTGTGTCGCAAATGAAGAAGGGGAATTAAAAGTTTGCTTCTATTTCCAAAAACAGAATTCGTACACGGTTTGCCAAAAAAGAAACGCATGAGTTCTTCGCGTCGCTTTCTTTATTCATAAGATAACCTATCTAAAAGCATTGATAACTTTCTTTTTTCTTTTTTTTCTTTAAGTATTTGGTTGTCATCGCTTGAAATTCTGATCTTCCTCACACTGATACACAAACTCTGTTTCCAACATTCACTCTTAAAGCCAATCATTGAAATTTTCACTATCTATAAATGGAACGCTATTGATGATACAAATCAACGAGGACTGAATTTTACAAAGAAAGACGGTCTAGTAACATTTTTCTTCTGACCGTGCCTCTTCCTAACGCAAGCTTGTCGTTAACTCGAGAAGAATTACGAACGTATTAAGATAGGTCCGTAACCCTGTCATAAAAATAGGTTTTCATTACATAACCTATCAACATTATCATTATCCTTGCCAACACAACTTAGAAAAAATCGTTGTTAATAAAAGACAAGGAATGATATACAGTAAAAAATCCTGCTCAAAATTCAGCTAATAACTTTCTCAAGTTAGTTATTGACCAATACCAATATGGTTTTGAAGCCGCCTTATATATATATATATATATATATATATATATATATATATATATATATATATATATATATAGATATAGATATCACTTTAAACGTTGTTTTAGTGGATACTCATATTTCAGTAGACGTTCCGTTTATTTATTAAACAGAATATATATTTACTTTCGCCTACTGGCCAGAATATTCGAGAAATCTTATTAAAAAAAATACGCACTCTATGGCAGTGTATATATATATATATATATATATATATATATATATATATGGGGAGGCTTTAAAACCATATTGGTATAATTTTTCAATCATACTGATGTATTTTTTCATATACCCTATATATATATATATATATATATATATATATATATATATAGGTATATGAAAAAAATATACAGGTGTATGAAAAATACTTTTACAAACTTACTTTGCAGGCCGGTTCCTGACACCAAAACAAGGTAAAATGTCCATGTATATAATAAATCCGAATGTCACTGTGTTACACGTTTTAAATAGTACTCCCATAGACCGTATCCCAACATATACCATTTTTGTATCAGGTGAACACCGTGAGCAAATTAAAAACATTGAATCCAGAACTGCAATCCTGAAATTTTAGATTCTCAACTTTTCATTACTGCGGTTTTTTTCGGATTCTACCATCTTGGCTTCTACTGATAAAAACAACTAAAGGGACACAACTCTAACTTTCAATAGTTCATGTTCAAATGAAAAAAAAAGTACTGTTTTCAAATTACAGTGTTTGAAAATAAATTGTTCGTGTTTTGAATTTTATTCCTAGGGGTCTGTAGCCCAACATATCAAACCATTTTGGGATCAGACCGAATCCGTGAACAAATTAAAAACATTCCAGGCCAGTTCTGGATCCGCATTCTTGAAATTTTAGATTTCCAAATTTCTATTGCGGTATTTCTGCAATTTTTTTACGCAATTTTTTGCGGCGAAATTTTTTTTACGATAACAATCTTTATAATCTAAGATCTAAATTAATTGCGAAATCTAGCGAAAGTTACCCATGAAGTAAAAATAATTGTTTGTACCAAAATTAAAGAACCTACGCACATCAAATTGTCTTTAAATTAAGTGGCTGCAGAAGAATTATCGTTGAACTTCTAAAAGGTAAGCTTAAATGTTAATTCTATAGTTAAATGCAGTGATCAATTTTGAGTTATTCTGTAGTTTATTGTCGCCTATCGCATCTACTCCTCTCTACCTATTGTGATGAACGGCCAATCAAGAACCCTTCGCAGGAGTTAACTTAAATGCCGCCCGATAAACAGCAAATATTAACAAATGTTAAAAATGTCCTCCGCTTTCTTCTACACACGCTACCACCAGTCGGATCATTGACTGTCAAACCTTTTCAAATACTCCCACACGGTGTCAAATGGTTTTGCAGACCCCATAGCACACTGATGTAGCTTCTTTGCATTATTAATGCTTGCAGCCTAAACCAATTTTTTAGGTGACCCTACAGATAAAAATCCAAAGGACTGAGCTCGAGGATAGATGCAGGACATGGAAACGACCCTCCCCTACATATCCATCTTTCAGCCAGTGTAGCGCGATCAATGTGATTAAAATGAACAACATGTGTCTTTCTAATTGCAGGGGATATCTAGCAGGTCTGGAAGTGTGTTCGAAATAAAGTCCCAGTAGACAGCTCCTGTATGATGTGCTGGGGGAATATATGGACCTACCAGACAGTCACCTACAAATGCAGGCCACACATTAATGGTAAAGTGATGCTAGTTTCTAACCTCTATTTTCCCTAGCGGGGTTCCAATTCGCACACAAATTTTAGTTGTTTAAATTTGTTAATCTATCTCTTCCAAATGCTGCCTCATCCGTAAACAAGACTGAAGAAACAAACAACGGATCGGCCGTTTGTGTAATAAAAGTAAAACTTCTCTCATGGTGAGTGACCAGAGGGCGAAAGACCCGGCCCACGTTGCAAATGATACGGATACAGGAGCTGCTCTTGAAAGACCCTTGATGCGGTACTATGTGTTGTAGGATATGCTCGGGCCAAGTGACGTGTGCTGATACCTGGATCGTCTCCGACAGCCTGTACAATGTGTTCTTTGTGGTCAGGTGTGCGAGCGGATTTCAGTCTTCCCTGATCCATAGTTTGTAGTTTCATGGATCTTGTCTCAGCAACGTGACCATAAACAACATTTAACGTTGTGTGACTCGGCAGCCCCCGGTCTGGAAAAGCAATCTGATACAGCCTTGCGTCTACTACCATTCGCGTTGCTATATATAAAGATCATATCTCCCTGGTCATGATATGAATATCCTGTCAGTGTTAAACGAAACACTTCTCAGTTCACGCATTACTGCACATATTAAACATTGAAGATGGACTAGCCACAAATGTACACGAATGATAAATGTAACCTAGTCTACAGAGGAACACAGCGATATCTACCATAAACGTCCTTTAAACATAATAACTCAAAAACGAAGAATTTGCAGATATATGTTTATATGAACTTTTGGACTTGTTTTAGTGTGACGAATCCGCGCCAAAATTTGTAAAAGTATTTTTGATACATCCTGTATACGTATCGCCTGAAGATCGCTAGAACGTGGAACTTGAGTAAGCGACTCGAACTGTCCATCATTGTGTGTTAACGCGATGAAGCGTTTTTTTTTTTTTCACTCTCGCTAGATAGCCTAGGCGTTGAGCAATTTAATTTTCTGCTTAAGTAAGTGTTTGCAATTTGGTCTCTTTTTTTCTTTCCTTGTTCGGTATTTTTCTTATCTCAGGGATTAGGGCGTTTGGCAAGTTCTCTGCTGGTCACACTAACATTGTTAGTTTTTATAGTGTATATATATATATATATATATATATATATATATATATATATATATATGTATTATATGAAGAAGTATACTCTTAAGGTGTGCTATATTTATAAAGTGCTCAGTATCAGAGATAGTGCGTGTGTAATATAAGACTTAGAGGCCTCTAAGTGTTGACTTCAATGTTCACTTATATATATATATATATATATATATATATATATATACATTATATATATATGTATTATATATAATCATGAATATTATTGTTAATATTGTTACCATTTTGCTGACTTTTATTCTTCAAATTTCATTAACCGTCCTATTGCATCTACACAGACGCAAACACACACATACGCACACGCTCACAAGCACACACACGCAGACACATACACACACATGTACACACACACGCACACACATAGGCACACATATGTATATGTTTATATTTAGTGTAGTGGTGCAGCAGATCATTATTTAAACATATATTGTTAAATATAACAGCCAATGAATGGCAGTTAAGTTTGTTCATAAGCCGTTCTAAATTTCGTATGATTGCTTTAATTAAATTCTCCTACATTTGTATATTTTTTTTTATTAAGGTGTCTCTTGATCTAACCTTTCGGCTTACATGAGCCATCTTCAGAGTGGTTGTATGGACATTTTACCAAAGATATTCACATCGAAGATAATA